TAAACCCCACAAACTCTGTAGTTATTCCCCAGAGCCTCGTACTGAGGTCTATTGTTTTAGGCTGAATTTTAATATATCGAAATTGGTCTATTACAAACTTAGAATGGATCAAGCATTTATAAATATATGGAATTGTGAAACAAACAATTAAGATTTGACTCTATAGCTACCGATGGAGATTGTCATGCTGAAAGAAGAATGCGCTTGTCGGTCAACCGAAACGCAAATTAATAAGTCGAGGACTCCCAGGTTATTAGCATAAATAAAATGAACATTTTATTCAAAATAACAGTGAAGTAGAATTTTTTTTCATTTAACTGATACTATGCTGAACCTCTTTTCAAGATCTTGTCATAGGATTGTCCATGATTTACTAGTATGTGTTCGTACACAGTAATTGACTTTATGTGCATATACAACAGTTGGTCGACAATAACAAAGCCAAAAGTTACCTCACCTTCAAATATTGTTTGCCAACATCTCTGCTTATCTATTATATGAAAACAATTTTCAATCATTGATCTGGAGAAGTACGGAAGAGTGGACTACGACTGAATCACATTTTAACTTGTACTTGCACTTCGAAATGGAAAAAAATACATACATCGCAGCCATCCAAATCGTAGCTAGACTCCGCATTGTAATGCTGGATGATACACTTCTTTCACTTAAAAATCTTGTTCAGTTTTTACAAAATGTGAATCACAAATAACCTAAAAATGTTTTGACTGCCCTAGAAGCTCAGTCAAAAGTCTCTTGCGTGTTTCAGCCCAGTTCCCAAAGGGACATCACTAGTAGCCCAACCCAGATCTGGTGATGGACAAAACACTGACCCCTAGTCCATGGACTACCCTAATGGACTACNTGACAAATAAGATCGTGTTTACTTTGCTAGTTTATTTCACCAGAAGCGACGGTCATTAATTTATTTGCAATTTTGCGAGTATTTCTTGTGGGTTTAGGCAAATGAAGTGAACTCTTTGGCTGTTTCATCACAGCGAGTTCAGAGATCGGAAGGAAAATTAAATATTTGCAAGCCAAGCAAAAAACATGTCAGAACATGCAAGGACTACGTCATTGGTAGGGAAATAACCACCGTGCTAAAGGAATTATGAGAATTATGTGACTCATGTGACTGCTTTGCTAGCCCTTTACTCAAGGAAAAAAAACAATATTAAATTTAATCATGACTTTTGAGAAAGAAAGCGGTTGTTAATAGTATTATTGTTTCATTCATATCATTCATGCCCATACATATCCCAAGGAAAGTTGCAGATTAAGACCATTACATCATCGGAGATTTCACAACAGCTACGACTGAAGGTGCAAGAATACAGTTTGTTTTGATCAAGTGATGTGGTGTCTGCAGTAATTTAAATTAATGAATCACCAAGGACTGATTTGGAATATGCACTGCATTGCGACTGTAGTGCTATAATGAAAACAGTTAAATTTTAAAAGCACGGTTATAAGATCTAAAAGATCGTCTTGTTTGACTCTTGGTGACTAGCTTCTTCTGAGGATCAATTCTCATTGATAGTCCAAACATTCATACTCAATTCAAATTTAATTTTGAGGCAAAGATTTATTTCTCAATCAAAGTTTAGCAGCTTTACAGTTGTCTGATGGAAATGGCACTCACTCTGCAGTAGTAGTTTAAAACTAAATGAGTGTTACTTTAAAATTCCTCAGGGTGGCATAAGAAGCTTGCCAGCTGCACAATAAGAAGCTGAGTCGTAAGAAAAAGATAGCAAAATCAGCCACCTACCCCAACTATAAATCTGTCTACTTCTTCCTTGCAAAAATTGCATGTGATTGGTGTGATTGTAATTGATTGTTGTGCATTTCTGTGCACGCTGGAAGTTGAAGCGTGTCCAAGTTTTAAGATAGATTAATTACATCTTATGGAATCACCATGTCTAGCTTGGCATGATAATGGGTAATGTTTGAACAATACAGTCTGCTTCCCATGGGCAGACTCCATTGTGCAAATTGCAGTAATAATTATAGAGAGACTGAAAATTTTTAATACTGTTGATAAATATATGCAAGACGAAGTTTAGTGTTTCTCAAATTGTTTGTTTTCTTGTGTTTAAGGTGGTGAAGATATAGTCCTTGTAAATTCAGAAAAAACTGCTAGTAAGGCTACCGATGATCATACTGAATATGAAGGTCAAACAGAAAGTGCAAGTCAATCTATCATGATTGAGAAAAGCAAAGAAGGTAACACATTTGATATTTATTGAACTTGTCAAACTCAATATAGTTCATGACAAAAATGAACAAAAAATTTATTTATTACTAGAGTAACATTTTAATTTATCTCTTGCTTTGACATCTGGTTTCAAGTCAAGTTTCAAAAGTTCAATTTTGAGTATTGTTGCTTTACACCTTCAGGAACTGAACATTTGCATGGCATTCAAGGAGATGCAGTGGTGGACAACGGCATGTCCTCTGGCAGTGAAGAGATGTTAACAGAACAAAGCACAGTCAACAAGGATCAAGTTGTTGGCCTTGATGACATCATCTTAAGTGAGGAACCTGTATTGCAGGAAGATGAACAGCACAGAAATCAAGTTGAGGAGATGAAAGGTATAGAAGAAACAACTGACATGGAAGAAGAAAGAACTGCTCAAAATTACAGTGAGTTGCAGAAGCAGCTGAAAGAAGCTGAATTAGATCGTACAGGAACACAAGTTGATGATGAAGATGAAGGAATTGGTCTTGATAGAAATGACCTTGATGATATTAATAGAAGAGAAGAGCTGCAGGAGGAATTATATCCAGCTACTGATACTGCTGACAGGACAGCCATCAGAGAGGAAGGTAGCTAATTATGTAGTTATGAATGTTCTTGGATAGAAATACCTATTCCTTTTGAGAAAATAAAATTGTTTTTTCATCAAAAAGTACACCTTGAGCAGTACACAACATTATACATATATTAACCATAGCTTCATTTTTCTACTCTACAAGAATATCCCAAATTTGCCTTGGTTTCACATGCATGTCAGCCATAATGGTTCTTAAAATTGGCTTACATGAATTCCAAAAACTTCTTCCCAGGCTTTCCTGTTCTGTCATTTGTCAAGTACATGTACTCAGTAAATTGTGTAATACCTGGGACTAGGAACAAGATTTAGGTCTTGCCCCATTCTGTGGGTATCATCACTTTGCTTGCATGAAGTGTCACTGCAAAATCAGTGGTCCCTCAAATCACAACGTAATGTGCTCCCCATTTGTTTTTCATTCATGTTCTGGCCGAAGTATTTTATTTTCAAGGCTTCTCTCAACTTTCAAAACGTTTGACGTTTTCCATCATCACATGTGAATATTGGTCGTCACTTTAACAACACAAGTTTTCTCAAGCCAATACTTGCAGTTGTAAAGTTCCAAAGAAATAACATCTTCCATCATGGAATTCTGGCAGAAAGCCAACCAAAAATTTGTGGTTCCTGCTTGGAAGGTCGAAAGGCATAGATACATGTAGCACTCACAAACCAGCACAGCTTACATTTTAATTTGTTTATTTACCGGTAATACATGTATTTTACAAGGATCAAATACTGCTAGTTACATCAGTGAAACAACTATATTTTTTTCTTTTACCTGTTGAATTTTCATGAATTCTAAGTAATTTTAGGCAATAACAAGTGGTGCTACAGGCGGTAAATTTTACTGTTTACCACCTTAAAAGGAGAACTCTGCTTTCCCACAGATATACTTTTTGACAGATAAATACTACCACTTTTAACGTGTGACGATATAATATTGCTTTGATACAAAATGATAATGCCAATGATAATGTCTTATCATTGGTTAACAAGTTTTGGTGATCGTTATACATAATTGATTACCATAGTAACATTAATTACCATAGAAACATATCTTACCATAGCAACGTTTTAAGCCTGACATTTGTCGTCAAAATTGATTACAAATTGCAAGCAGGTTGCCTGAACTGTGGGAAGGATTGGAAATGCAAAGAATCCATACACAAGAATCTTTTATTTGGCCTGTAAAGAATCCTTACTCGGGAATCTTACATTCGAAATGCAAAGAATCCTTACACAGGAAAGCAGTAAAGTCCCTACATATCTTTGTGTCCATGTGACTCTAGTCATGTGTAAAGTAATCAAAAATTTGTCATGGGCTATGTGGGTCCCCCTTTTGAGTGTCAAACCTTTCATGTCATCATTTAAGAAACGAAGGTGCTTACATTCCTGGAAGAATGTCAACACAACTCATGTCTTTCATCATCATTTTATCTGCCTCCATGTTGCTTTTCAATGCCATGTCACATTTCAGAATTTTACCCCAACAGAGTCTGAATTCTTTATAAAATACAGTCCAGCCTGCATAACACACGAAAACCAATTTGAAATCCAAGGGCTTGCAATGCTTGTCTATTGTATCATCACAGTCATTTTGATTTCATTGATGGTTTTATTAAATCTACAATTTTCAGCCCTGAATTTGTACACCATCATTATCTTGCCCATTGCTGTTATCACTAATGTTGTCTCTGTTATTGTAAGTTGTGTTGCTCTTTTACTACATGTAGTAAGCATATCTGCATACTTTCCAGGTTCCCAATCTGCTCAGGAGGCGATATCATCCCAGCAGGTTGAGCCTCCTCCTCCCATAAGCTTAGAAGATCTACAGGGTGAGGCACGTATTGTGGCTAACAGAGTTCTTAGCCGTCCACAGTCAGGAATGGTATTTATGGAAGATGTAAAGAGTGCTATTGCAATGTGGGCTGATCGCTTAACAAACCTTCTAGGACCCCCTAAAAAAGGTACAGTGCAAGTGGTAGCTATTTTTGGTGTGTACAACATGAAAGCTTTTGTATTATTTGAAGCATGTCTAAAACCATTATCAAAGTTGTAGCATCAGACAATATTGTATGGTGAAAGTTGCGTGTGATTTTTGCATGACATGTTCAGCAGAAATTTGCATGCGGCAGCGTTAAGCGGCCCTAGCAAATATTTGGCAGTTAAATTGAATATTTGCCAAGGAAATATCCAAGTTTCCAAATATTCACCATTATTATATGGCAAAGTAGTCTTGCGGTCTTGGTCAGTCTTGGTCGGGATTGTGACCTCGGTCAAAGTTTTTCACTATACGGACCTCCCAGCCAGCAAATGACATATACGTCTTCCATTTCAGGACCGTTTACGCAGCTCTGTTAAATCTGTTGTTTGTTGCTTTATTTCATGGCTTGAAATAATGCTGTCATCAGAGGAATCGAAAACCAGTCGGTGAGAATAAGTTCCGGGTAATTCGCGTATTGCTTCAAAGTTTAGACTGCCTGTGTATAGACTACTTTCATGCTAAAAATAAAACAAAGGAGTAAACAGAATGTAAGCGTTACACTTGCGGTAGCAGTACATACCTGTCTTTCGTGGACCAAAATTGATTGACCTGCAAGTTGCCTGAACTGCCGCACACAGGAATCTTACATTAGGAACGTAAAGAATGGTTACACAGGAATGTCTTACACAGGAATGCACCAAAGTCACTCCATATCCTCCTGCACACGTGACTTTCTGCAAATAAAAAAAACGATTTTAAAGGCCTGTTTATATTTATTCATGTTGCCATGGCAACGGCACATATGTCACCTTAACTATGAAAGAACCGCAGTTTGTGTTGTTAACTTGCCTCTTGCCATTTTGGCGACCAAAGGATCAGGGGTTTTAGAGAAAATGGTGAATGAAACACAAGTATCAAAAACTGTGTTCAGCCACCCTAAAAGGAGCTTTTTCTTAGAACACAGCATATAATGCCCTTCCGTGGCATTGTTGTCAAACAAAATCGGTCACGACCAAATTTAAGAAAAGAATGGAAAATGTTCAAATGTTTCGAGCTGTAGGTGTCATGTGGACCTGTCGAGGTTGTAATCAGATAACATTTCCGGCGACCAGTGCAGGAGCACCGCATACATGAGTTAAGCCATGACTTTACGTCACAGACACGCTTTGCCGCTCACGCGTCCAACCGTCTCTTTTCATTTATAAATGGCAAAAATAAAATAAGAACAAGAACAAACAAGAACAACGTAGATCGGACACGAGAGAGTGGCGGAAATCGGACCTAGCCCTCCCTCCCCATTAAAAAAAAGATGTCTTATCACGAGTTGAGTCAGTGATACGTTCCAAAGAAATGACTGCATATTATGCAGTTACAGTCACTGTGTTGAAGTAAGTGATCTATGTCGAAAGAGACGCAAATTCTCTGACCAATTCTCTATATTGCAGAACTACTTTTAACAACTTTTAATTCCTCTAAAAACAACCATCTGGAGAATACGTTTGTGAGATGTGCTCCTGGGCGAGACACCTAACTTTCGCAGGTCGGGGTAACCCTTTGACGGATGACCATCTCATCTGAGGAAGAGATTGAAATACCCTTAGTCAATTCATGTTTGGCAAAGAGGCGATAAGCAACAACCTGATGAGCCTCTGACAAGACGTGCACACTCCTGCAAAGGACTCTTGTTAAAATTAGGTATGGTGGTACTCTTCAGAAGTTTGCTATTAGCTTACTGTGTTATCATGGTTACCTGCAGATGCACGTGTAAGTTCTGCCAGCCATCAAAGACCACAGTTAACAGGCTTGCAGGCTGCTCAAGGAGGGTCAAATCGCCATACACGGCATCGCAAAGTAAGCCGATCAGCGGGTCCTTCACCAGCGGCTCTAAGGAAAGCTTTGAAGATTTCTGGAGGTGAGTGAAGTAATATTGTACATTAAATATAAGAGACATAACATTTGTTACTAATCAGACAAAGATTGAATGTACAAAGCACATCAAATTCAAGGCGATTAGAAATGCATTGCAACACTGTACCATATTTTATTATTATACTACATGGCTGTTATTGGTGTTTTATCAACCCTG